AGTCTATTAGATAGATATGATACAAACCACTGCAGTGCAGTACCTGTAATACCTACAGCATGTTCTAATCGCTCTAATAGGATATTATGGTCGACAGTATCGAACGCTGCACTGAGGTCTAGCAGGACAAGCACAGAGATGAGTCCACTGTCAGAGGCCATAAGACGATCATTTGTAACTTTCACTAAAGCTGTTTCTGTGCTGTGATGAGCTCTGAAACCTGACTGAAACTCTTCAAATAAGCCATTACCCATACTCTTATCTGACAGCGTTGCATCCAATGTGGTCTTCTGTTGCTGTAGCACATTTACTGCAAGATTTGAAGTGTTGTGCATTCAGAGATGCTCTTCTGCATACTTTGGTCATACCGAGTTGTTATTTGAGGTACTGGTGCATTCGTGCCAGCTGTCTGTGTCAGAAGTCTGGGTCTTCTCCATCAACAAGACATTTTCAACCAGAGAACTGCAACTCATTGGATATCGTTTCTATTTTGGACTATTCTCTGTAAACACTAAAGATGGTTGAATAGATAGTGCAGTAGTTCCTGAAACATTGAGAACAGCCCCTCTGCACAAACAACCACGTTATGGTAAACAGAAATTAAACTGAATTTCTTCCCCATTATGATGCTCACTTTGAACTTCAGCAGGTTGACATGACCATGTGTGCAGGTCTAAATGCTCTCAACAGCAACAGCTGGCTCTGACTCCCCACCTGATGAAGACCCTGGAGCGGCTGGTGCTGGCTCAGCTTCAGACCCTGGTGAGATCATCACTGGACCCACTTCAGTTTGCCTACCAACCTGGCATTGGAGTGGATGATGCCGTCAATCACCTCCTACATCGTTCCCTCTCTCACCTGTGGACCGGTGGGAGCACTGTGAGAATCATACTCTTTGATTTCTCCAATGCCTTCAACACCATTCTTCCCACGGTCCTGAAGGACAAGCTGGAGAACTTAGGAGTGGACCGTGACCTCACAGCATGGATACTGGACTACCTCACCGACCGACCACAGTACGCGAGAATTCAGGGCTGTGTGTCGGACAGGGTTGTCTGCAGTACGGGGCCCCCACAGGGAACGGTTCTGGCTCCGTTCCTTTTCACCATCTACACTGCAGACTTCTCCCACAACTCCACCCAGTGCTTCCTTCAGAAGTTCTCTGATGACTCTGCAATTGTCGCCCTCAACATTGATGGGGATGACAGGCAGTACAGGGAACTGACCCAAGTCTTTGTGGACTAGTGCCAGCAGAACTACCTCCAGATCAACACCAGTAAAACCAAGGAGCTGGTGGTAGACTTCCGCAGGCACAAACATCCTCCACTGCAACCACTTAACATTCAAGGTATGGATATTGAGGCTGTGGATAGCTACAGGTACCTTGGTGTTTATCTGAACAATAAACTGGACTGGACTCGTAATTCAGATGCCCTCAACACGAAATGGCAGAACAGGCTGTACCTGCTGTGGAGATTCAGGTCTTTCAGAGTGAAGGAAGGGTCAACTCCTGAAGACCTTCTATGGCTACGTCTACACTAGCCCGGATAAAATTAAATAACGGCATTTTCTATTGTTTTCGAGCGTTTCCGAACAGTTGTTCATCCACACTGAAACAATCGAAACTGCTGTGTTCCTGTATTGCGCATGGGTGAAACATAAGACTGCCCTGTCTGCCCCGTATTTACTTTCCGGCTATTTGAAACCTCGCAGCAAAATGTTGTAGAAAGCACCGTGTTTTTTTTTAAATGGACTGACAACGAGGTGGAGTTGTTGCTGTGAGTAACATAAAAGTACAAAGTTGCAAAAGGGTTGAGAATTAAAGAATTTGAAGAAAAGCTATACAACTGCTGTATAATGCCCTCCGCTATCTTAGTATAACTGGTCACATGACTGCATCATATGAATAAAATGCGTCATCATTTTAAAAAGTCTCCGTTTACGCAGTCTACACTGTGCAGCGAAATGTATCCACTTTCAAATGTATCCGCTTTGGAGAGCATTTTCAAAAAGCTCTGTTTTCCTTGACAAAAATCACTGTCTCAGTGTGGACAGAAGGCCAAACGGAGAGAAAAAGATGCGTTTTCAAACAAAAATGTATTATTGTGGACATGGCCTATGACTCTGTGGTGGGTGGCCTCTTTTACGGTGTGATCTACTGGGGCGGCAGCATCTCTGCTGGGGACAGGAAGAGACTGAACAGGCTGTTTAGGAGGGCCAGCTGTGTTCTAGGATGCTCTCTGGACCCTGTGAAGGTGCTGAATGACAGGAGAATGGTGGCTAAGCTGTGGACAACATCCCCCGTCCCATGCAGGAGACCCTGACAGTTGACCCAGTCATTGACCCAGTATTTTCTGTTCATCTGTTTATCCTCTGTATGTTCCACTTCCTGTTTTGTGTTAGCGTTACTCTGTGTGCATTATGTTCCAGTTCTTATTCCATGAATCTTTAGTTCAATTATGTTCAGCTGCTCACTCACCTGTCACCTATCAGTCATTATTCAGCCAG